TGTATTATTCATTAGAAACTTCATATTGTAGCAAATGGTGTTCAAGGTCATTTGTTCAATAATGGCCATATGATCGCTTCTTGGTGTTGATTTGAATGATTTAAACCATGATTTGAGATTTGATTAATTGCCTGAGATTTGAATGATTCAAAGTTTGCATGACAATTTTACTGAAATTTTGATTATCATTCGAGTCAAATTCTTTTGAAGCCTTTGGAAATTCGAGCCTCTGGAAGTTTGATTGAATTCAAGTTCTATGTTCCTTGTGGTCCTTTGAGTTCAATCAAGTTTAAGTCTAAATCATTGTCCCCTTTTTCGTTGCCTAGGTTACACCTTCGGTTATTTGCATTCAAGCAAAGCATGCTTGAGTTCATTTCGGATTTGAGTTCAATGTCAAAGTTCTTATGATCTATCCAAGTCTTTGCTTGAGTTCAACTATTCAAGTATTCAAGTCAAGCTTGAATCAAGTTCTTTGTTCATTTGAGTCCAAGATCGTGTTCTAACCCAAGTCCAATGTGAGTTCATTGAGTTCAAATCTGAGTTCAAAGCACAAGTTCAAGCTTACAAGTCTTCATCATTTGATTCAACGTTGAGTTCATTTGGTTTAAGTTTGGATTTAATTTATTTAAATTTATTGCATATTCGGATTCAAGTTTGATGCCAAAGTCCTCTATTGTTCAAATGTGTCCAATCAAGCTCGAGTATGATCTTATGTTTACCCGAAATTTTGGCAACCTCCCGGTGTCTCCCCCGTTTGGGAGAAAACTACGGAAACTGGGCCTCCCGCCACTCTAGAGAAAAGCGTGCATGGTAGGTGCCCTCGGACGAGGACACCGCGGCCGTAAAATCTTTGTTTCCCCACCACGCCAGAAAAAGGCGTGCATGGGCCTTCGGGTACCGGCTCAAAATAAGCAATTTATAATTGACCCCTCCTCGTCGTAGGTGTCGCACCGGATTTCCTTCCTACCAGGCTAGAGAAAAGCATGCATGAGTTAGTTTTCCAGTGCGCTGCTAACGTCGAAAACAGAGTTTTGTGATTACCCATCCCGTCACAAGCATTGCAACGAATTCCCTCCTACCACGCTAGAGAAAAACGTGCATAGGTGGTCGTTCGCCGTGTTGCAAGCGCCGGAAGCAGGTTCTCGGAGTTTTAGGGTTAAGGGATTATACCTGCGCGTGGTTGGCATGTGGATCGAGGGAAGGAGAGGTATGCTTCTTTTTAACATTATAATTAACCGTAATAATTAGTATAATTAATTATAACTAATAATAGTTCATTAGAATTAATAATAATTAATTATTATTTAATGACTAATTAATTAAAACTAATCGTACTTAATCTCTCTCTCTCTCTCTCTCTCTCTCTCTCTTTCTCTCTCTCTCTCTCTCTGGACCGTCGGGTTGGGCTGGAGGTTCAGCACTAAGGTCGAAGAAGCAGGGAGACGAAGCTTTCGCGTGTGTGGAAGAAGTCCCTTTCGTAAGCCTCTCCCTCTTCGTTTTATAGACGCGAAGAAAGCAATGATCGAGGCGGTCGTCGCAGGATTCGCGGGGAAGAGATTGGAGCGGCGCCGAACATGTACAAAGTTACGGGATTTCCGTTTGAGTTCGGCGGGGTTTGGGGATTCGATGGAGCAGAGGTATGATTTTTTTTTTAGCAATTCTCTTTTTGTTTCTGTGTATTCCGCTATGTAGGTCAACAGAAATCTTGTTAATTGTTCTCCGCTTAATCCTAGAGTTTAATGAGTTGAGTGAGAGGATTTCATCATAGTGACTAATCTTATTGTTAGCATTGGGATTTATTGTTGAAACCATCATGTATGCAACGTTAGATTAAATTGATTATTTTATGATCTTAACTCCTATGCATGTAATTTAGCCTAAAGCTTATTTTACCGCTCTTTGTATTTTATCTTGTCGCTTAAATTCAATATAAAGGATATAATTATTGTGGCTCCTAAAATTAAGCGTGCAACTTCCTAAATCTAGTCATCCTTGCATGTAAGTTTTACATCAATATCCCTTCTAATTTTATATAAAAAGTGACTAACTGTCAATAAAAAAATTTCTTTGGAGGGGACTGGTTTTAAAATAAAACGAAAAGATATATGTTATATACTCGCTTCTCAAATAAAAACTTTTTCCACGTTTGATTAGACAAAGCAATTACAATAATGAATCTACATCATACTCAATGTAAAAGGTGTAGTATTTAAGCAGTTCTGTTAAGTCATGGAATTCTTTTCAATATAATAATTCAGACAATCCAGCAATTCATGATTTCATTTTAGCGTTATCCAGGCAGAGAAATCATAGAAGCACTAATTAGCAAGTCCCTTCACAGATTTTAGTTCTTCAATGATATGAATCAGAGCAGCATAAGGTCTATAACTCAAGAAAAATAAACATGTATAGAAGATTTCTATCTTAAATATTTTACTTTTCTTGGAATTTAAGAAACAACTGAACAGTTTATTCAATCAGCAGTAGCCATTAAAAACACATTGATTTACTCACGTGAATGGATAGGACAACTTGGGAACTATGAAAAACGGACGCAATACTGGTACATGATTGGTTAAAATATGAGAAGGATTTAGGAATGCATAGCATTGATATAGATCTAGTTGCATAAGGTGCAGATTTTTTACTATGCATAGACGTATACTAGGATGCAGATAAAGATATAGATGCATAAATATCTTATAGCACACACATATCAACGTGTCAATCCACCTATTAATTGTGACCTAATGCGAACGCATGCAAAAACACAAATGCACCAATAGCGCATATATGCCCATGAAATAAATCTGATAACTAAGTCTAATGGGGACATCAGAGCATGAAGCATATATCAGAGGCGTGGCCGTCGATCTACGGTCACGATCGCGTCGATGTATTTTTGAGTTATTTCATATATTTGTTTTATTATGTTATTTGTTATTTATGTTGTATTTGTTTTTTCCCGTTTTTACCCCTTAAGGGAAGTCGTATGTAAGCCCTAAGGGCAAGGTCGTCTTTTATCTTTGAGTCCTTTTGTATGAGGCTATTTATAGCCATTATGTTCTTCTTCTAAAGGTAATGAATGATTGAATGATAAAAAATTTGTGCCATTGCTCGAGTTCTTGAGAGATCTTGAGAGTGCTTGGAAAGAGAGAGATCCCTAGGAGAGGGAATTTGGAATACCCACCAACTTTGGAGACGGCCGGGTTCGTGGTTCTTTTTCTGTTTATCAAATTTTCCTTCCCTCTTCTTCCTCTAGCCGTCGGCCTAAGGAGCTCCCAAAACACCCTTGTCGTCGGCTACCTAATCCCCCCAACCTTCTACTTCATCCACGGCCACCTCTTCACCGTCGGCCACCCTTGGCTTCCCCCCCTTCTACACGTCCCCCACAACCTTCCTAAAATAGAATTCATAATTTTGGTAACTCTCTTCATGATCAAATTCAAATTAATTTGAATTAGAAAGATTTACTTAATTTTCAAAATCCTATTTTATGAAACTTACTAAAACGATTCCTATTTAAATTTTAAATTAAGAAGGGAGGAAATATTTCTTTCCAAACTTAGTTTATTAATTTAAGTAGGCATTAAATGCCTCATTAATTCCTCCCTCCCTCTCTATAGCCGCCGGCCCCATCATGAATGAGATTAGGAATTGTTTCCTAAAACTATCCTCTCCACTTTGGAAACAATTCAAATCCCTCCCACTTCTCTTGGCCGAAACTCCCAAGGGCCCACCCACTTAATTCCTTCCCAAAATTAAGCTTCCCCCCTTGGAATTAAATCCCAAATTATGTCCTACTCTACCCGCCCCCTCTCTCTTACCCCATATTCTATTTAAATTATTTCCAAACCTAGAGAATTGATATGGAAATTAATTTCAGCTTTCCCACCATAATCCTCTTCTCAAAATCTGAACTCAATCTTCCCCTAGTCTTTCCCCCTTGGCCAGTCACCCTCTCCTGCCACTTCCTACTTGGATTCTTGAAAGAAACCTCTCTCTTTCAAGGGGAAACGGCAAGGACAGCAAAGGATCGTTACCTTCAACACTTCAACGCTTGGGAGAGACTTCTTCCTCTCTAGTTGAACCTTCAAGGGAAGCTACGATGAACTTCTTCAACATCTCGCCTGCTTGTTTCCGGGTTTTGACAAAGGTGAACTTCTCCCCCTTTTCAATAACCTTCCTAATCACCTAATCTTGTAGGTGATGACGAATCACAAGGACCCGAGTTTCTCCTTTGCCTAAGCTTAGTAAACGTAGGATTTTGTTTCGCCGTTGCCCAAAACCTAGTAAACGTATGATTGAGTGTATTTTCTATGCTTCTAATCTTATTGTTATATTAGGGATTTTGTTGAAAGCTACTCCATTTGCATATTGTTGAATCTCTTTGTTGTTTTGATAATTCAAATGCTTATTGTCCAACTTGGCCTAAACGGAAGTAACTGCTCTTACATTTTATTTTGTCGTTTTAATTTGCTAATAGTTCTAATCATAATTATTTTTATCAAGAAATCGTGCAAGTTCTTATCACATCACTTTAAACATTGTAGTCCTACATCAATGTCTGCATATAAAAAACTATTTATACCTTGAGCACATCTATTATGCTCTCCACTACCATGTCCCATTTGTTAACACTTGAAATACATCCTTTTAAAAAAAAAAAAATTATACAGAACATTTTGGTTTCCCAATGTTGTATCTAACTAGTCATTAATGTAGAGTACATAAAACAAGCTATGCCTCTGACACAAATGATTCAAGTACACCATAAATTCAATACGGTAATGACTTCTTCATAGAAGAATTCATGCTTCATCAACAAAAATTAGAAAAATAAAGCACATTTGGCATGAATATAAACTTCTTGTGTATCAAATGTTTCTAGGAATAATGCCATCATTGTTTGAAACTATGAATCACCATATAATCCTGAGGAAAAACAAAATTTAATGAGTTGCTAAGGTCACACATTTGCAATAAAAGTATGAACATGCCTTCTCCTTTTTTCCAGACCCAGTCAAACACCAAGCGCCTGACTGCCCATAGTTACTTCCTATGGAAAGTAAGACGGTCATAGCAAAAGAAGTTCCTGCCAAAATTAGTATGGCAAGATTAACTTTACTAAAAGTTATGTCAAATGACCAGAGCAGTAATAAACAACAGTAAAGTGCTTGGAAAAGATGGAGAATTTGAAAAACTAAGCATGAATCAAAATGGAAAACACGAGATTGGGTTTGCGGCCGAGTGGTCGACGGAAGAAATTCCTCCCATCTCACCTGAGCTCGAATCCCCTAACATTCCCAAAAAATATATGGAAAACACCTCCTTCGACGCATGCAAAAACTATTACCAAGTCATTTTAAACCAAATATTGTTTTATCACTAAGCTGAGAAAATTACTACAATTTATGACCTTTTGATGTGATGACTATGCCAATCTTATTCTCGCACCTCTTGCAACCATTCCGTTCATTACCATTGTACAAAAACTCTTACAAACTATCACCAAGCCATTTTAAACCTAATCTTGCTTTATCATTAAGCTGAGAAAGTTACCACAATTTATGATCTTTTGATGTGATGACTATGCCCATCTTATTCTAGTACCTCTGGCAACCAATGTGTTCATTACCATTTTACAGCAACTCTTGCAGGCAAATGTCCTTATCTGTGATTGGTGTGCTTCTTCTAAAGTTTTATGTTACTAATTGGCTTCCTTCGGCTTCCCAGATTTTAGCATACGTGGCTTCCAACAACTTCTACAGTTAGTTTTGGGGTTTGTTGGCGGACTCTACCTAGAAGCTCTCATGAGTTCCTTCAAAGACGATGGCAAAGGCAGTTTATGCAGTTTCTCCTGCGGCTTCCCCAACCTATAGCAACAGCTGAACCGGTTGTTTTGGCCCTTATGGGAATTAGATGGTTGTTGAAGTGAATTCTTTCTTTCGGTAGTTGCATCCTTAGATTTTTTTTTATTGAATTTAGCAATTTGAGGCATGTAAGGAAAATTAGATATTGAATAAATTTTTTATTTGGATATGCAAATCATTCTCCTTCTGAAATTCAACTGTTGATCAAGTTCAAGACTTGATATTTGGGGAGGCTATCCCCTTGTACAAACACAAGGCTTATTTTTCTACCAAGAAATTTTCCCTTTTCTTCTTTTTCTTCCTCTTCTTCGCAATTCACATTTTATTATCAGTTCTGATGTGAAACCAACATGGGGAAACATGAATTGCAATTCAGAGATTAGTGAAAACTTTAACTTTGTAACATTAACAATAAAATTTAGCTTACTCAATTAGGATTCAAGAAAATTCGTGAGAGATTAAGCGGTGGACATTGACTACACTTGAGAGTTACAAGAGTCTTGCAAAAGATAACCAAAAGATAACTAAATAACGCAAATAGCTTTCACTAAAGCCACACGTTTAAGGTTTAGACAATTCACCTTGAGGTCCGACAATCTCTCTTGAAGTGGAGGTTAGCGAAAGAGGGTTGCAAGAAAACTTAGCAATACCACTAAGACACAGGTGATGCCAAGAGGACTCGTCGCCGGGAAGGAAGTGGGAGTTGGAGAAGCGGGCAGATGACTTTCGATGATCCACGTGTAGTCGGAGAATTGGTCGTCGAAGGCGTCCACTAGTGTCGGTAAGATCCGATCCAAGTAATCTTCGACGGTATTGTCGAAGCCAAAACCACGCCAAAAAAAGGCGATCTAAGGACGTGAATGTGGCCGTAGGTGTCGAGTTCGATTCCGTAGTCAACGGCGGGATCCGCCATGCACCATGAACTTGAAGACGAGCAATCCCCTCACTGAACCAAGAGAGAAGAGAGGGGCCGATTTGGATAGGAGGAAGGGGCCGGCGGTGGATCTAGGGGAGATGAGAGGGATTAGGTTGAGAAACTGAAATTGATTTCAGTTTCAAAGGATTTAGGAGGGAAAATTTTGGAATTTTAAATTTGAAATCCCAAATTAAAGAGGGGAATTATTGATCATTCAATGGGAGAGCCAATAGGGGGCCGGCGGCATCAATAGGGGCTAGGGTTTGTGAAAAACTGAAGGAAATTTCAGTTTTAAGTGAAATTGAGAGAGAATCAACAATGTTGTTCATTAGACCATTTTACAGCAACTCTTGCAGGCAAATGTCCTTATCTGTGATTGGTGTGGCTTCTTCTAAAGTTTTATGTTACTAATTGGCTTCCTTCGGCTTCCAGATTTTAGCATATGTGGCTTCCAAAAACTTCTAAGTTAGTTTTTGGGGTTTGTTGGCGGACTCTACCTAGAAGCTCTCATGAGTTCCTTCAAAGACGATGGCAAAGGCAGTTTATTGCAGTTTCTCCTGCGGCTTCCCCAACCTATAGCAACAGCTGAACGGTTGTTTTGGCCCTATGGGAATTAGATGGTTGTTGAAGTGAATTCTTTCTTTCGGTAGTTGCATCCTTAGATTTTTTTTTATTGAATTTAGCGCATTTGAAGGCATGTAAGAAAAATTAGATATTGAATAAAATTTTTTATTTGATATGCAAATCATTCTCCTTCTGAAATTCAACTGTTTGATCAGTTCAAGACTTGATATTTGGGGAGGCTATCCCTTGTACAAACACAAGGCTTATTTTTCTACCAAAGAAATTTTCCCTTTTCTTCTTTTTCTTCCTCTTCTTCGCAATTCACATTTTATTATCAGTTTCTGATAGTGAACAACATGGGGAAACATGAATTGCAAATTCAGAGATTAGTGAAAACTTTAACTTTGCAACATTAACAATAAAATTTGCTTACTCAATTAGGATTCAAGAAAATTCGTGAGAGATTTAAGCGGTTGAACATTGACTACACTTGAAGAGTTTACAAGAGTTCTTGGCAAAAGATAACAAATAACGCAAATAGCTTTTCACTAAAGCCACACGTTTTAAGGTTTAGACAATTCACCTTGAAGGTCGACACATCTCTCTTGAAGTGGGAGGTTAGCGAAAGAGGGTTGCAAGAAAACTTAGCGATACCATAAGACAACAGGTGATGCCAAGAGGATCGTCGCCGGAAGGAAGTGGGAGTTGGAGAAGCGGGCAGATGACTTTCGATGATCCACGTGTAGTCGGAGAATTGGTCGTTCGAAGGCAGTCCACTGTTGTCGGTAAGATCCATCC